CTAAAGCTCTCATTGTGTGTGTGTGTGTGTGTGTGTGTGTGTGTGTGTGTGTGTGTGTGTGTGTATGTGTGAGTGTGCGCGCGCGTTTGTAATACATGTGGGATATATGCCTATGAGTGTTCAGGTGTACATGCCAATAAGTGTGTATGTGAATGTGGAGACCACAGCAAAGGATATCAAGAGTATTCCTCTATTGCCCTCCACCTTATTCCCTTGAGACAGGGTCTCTCACTGAACCAGAAGCTTGCCATTTTGGCTAGGCTGGCCAGCTGGCTAGGGAGCTCTGGAGATTTCTCTGTCTCCTAGCCCCTAATGCTGGGGTTACAGGCGCAAGTGGACATGCTCTAATTTTACATGGGTGCTGAGGATTCAAACTCAGGTCTTCATGCTCACAGAGCAAGCACCTTTACCCACTGAGCCATTGCCCCAGCCCAAGCTATTACTTAAAAATGTCAAAATGTCTCTTCTCTCAGAGGGCAGATTTTCAAAACAACTCTTTTCAGAGGCTGGAGGAAAGATTGATTTGTAAGACAAGATACTTTGTCGATTTTATAAAATCGTTCCTTTATTGACCATTGAGAATAGTGTTGCTCTTCATGCATATGAGAAGGAGTGGGTGCTAGCCTACAGTATTCTCTGTAATCTTATAAATGCACACAGATGTGGTTCAACAATATAGTCAGACTATTTATTGGTAGAGAAATTTTATTAATGAATTATACACCACTGTGTATCAGTGCTTCTAAGTCTTAATGAGTGCCTGCCACGAATAAATATCACAAACAGATCAATAAATATTTGTCAAATTAATAAACGAAATAATGTTCAGAAAATATCATCTAGGACCCCCCCCCCCATCTGTCGAGGACTCAGCAGTTGGTTACATGACCAGGCACCACCTGCTCTCCCAGCACGGATGTTCTAGCGAAAAGGGCGAGCGTTGATGTACGGCCTCGGTTTCGTTGGCTTCCAGGATTGCTCAGTATTACAGTCTTTCTGAGTCAAGACTGTTCAAAAGCAGTGCTGAGGGCAGCAAACCTGTAATTGTCAAATGACTGTGCGGCTTAAAAGTCCTCCTGAACCCAACCAACGTTCACATAATGAGCTTGGTTAGTGAGTTTCGAATTCTAATGAAGAGCAGCCGGCGTCTGAAGCCCTAAAGGGTGTGTGTGTGTGTGTGTGTGTGTGTGTGTGTGTGTGTGTGTGTGTGTGTGTGTGTGTGTGTGATGACTTCTGAAGCACACAATACAGAAGTACATGCTTCAAAGAAGCTAGCTAAATGTTTTATGTTCCCTTCGTGCTCATTAGTAATTGCTCTCATTTCTCCTGTTTGTCTCCTTTTTTTCTTTTTCTTCTTTCTTTTTTTTTTTTTTTCCTTCTGATCATAAGGATGCAATTAAAATCCCAGTGCCTGGTGCTTTCTGCCAGAGAGATAAACAGTACCTGACCCCATGTGATCTGCTGCATGAATAGAGATCAGGATTTCATCTTAGAAGCAACTCGATTTTGGACGGTTGCTAAGGAGACTATTGGCATCTCAGTGTCCTGTGTGCCCTATTGCTTGGAAAGAATTACAGCAGCATCACCGGTTACTCTCCCACAGAGAAAAACCTAAAAACTCATTCGGGAAGCCAACAGTTTGAGATTCCACTGTTCTCTTTTATTGTTTCGAGTGCTGCCGGCCTTGGAGTGTAACTCGTGAGCATATTGACATCTAAATGGGTGTGCTTTTGGAACTGACAGCGTAGCTTCGTTAGAGAATACATAGCGGACCAAACTCCGGGGACCAGAGTCCCTGACCTGGAGTTTTTGTCACAAGCCTACTGTGTTATTTGCGCCTCTGTTTTGTTTTGTTCAGAGAATCCCACCTCCTAACACTCAGAATCCAGACCAAGATCCCACCTCAGCCTTCTTTCTAGCAGAGCCATCAACAATGTTCTGGTGTCACATTAAGAAAATAAATGAAAAAGCCCTTTCCCTTGGTGTCATTAAGCAAGAGTGAGCCCAGATGTGAATTCTCTGCTTCTGCCTCTGTCTTCTGTTGTATGAGTCTAAACCTGTGACTGCCTGAAATCTGTCTTGTGAATCTGTCCCTAGGTCTGTGTCTCTCTGTGTCCATGTGTGTCTCTGACAAAGAGCCTTGCCCTCTCTTTTATTGAACAACACAAACACATCACCTGGGGGAAGGAATAAGAAATACTTACAGGAATCTTAAGCAGAGTTTTACAAAGGATGAAGTCATTGACTCCAGCTGACACAGATAACACACCATATAATGCTATCAGGCATCAAACAGTATCCATATGTTACATCCAACATTGTTTTTGTTGTTGTTGTTTTTGTTATTTTTCAAGGCAGAATTTCTCTGCCCTGGCTGTCCTGGAACTTGCTCTGTGGACCAGGGTGGCCTCAAACTCAGAGATCTGCCTGTCTCAGCCTCTTAAGTGCTCAGATTAAAGGGATGTGCTACCACACAGCTAGAGGACATTAATTTTATAAGGTTGCTTTTGTTTAATTTTCTGTTTTCAGCAAATGATAACCACAACATACAAACACATGTGTTACTCATAGGTAAGTACTCGGGCACGGAAAGTCTGTAACTTCAGAGTACTGCTGTGGATTCTAACTAGGAGGTCCCAGACCTTAGCATAACTGAGGCCATGATGGAAGTACCATTCAGGCCGTAAAACTCAGCATGGAGACAGCACCACCTGGCCAAACAGGGACAGAAACCTAATTCATCCAAGTCTGGAGTTCTAGGAAAGTCTCTAAACGTACTTTCTTTGAGGCTTCTGTAGTTCATTTCTGGCTAACTGTTCTTGCTAATTGAAGTATGTCACTGCAGGATGTGGTCTTTATGCTTAAAAGCTCACCCTGAGAAAGGCTCAAAGTTACATTGGGATTCTGAACATCCAGAGTAGTCAGCAGCCAGCTAATAAAGACTTTCTATTGGTTTAAACCTGAGTCGGAGTAGTCTTCTCTAGTGGATACCCCACAAAAAGCATTAGCTTAGGTTCTAAATGTTGATTACCTGGGAAAACCTGGGTAAGTAACATGGTTGCATCGTTCTCTCTCTCTCTCTCTCTCTCTCTCTCTCTCTCTCTCTCTCCCTCCCTCCCTCCCTCCCTCCCTCCCTCTCTCTCTGTTAGGCATTGTTCTCTTAAAGGCAGATTAAATGAACAGGCAGAGAGTGGGCTAGCGGTCTTAAGTCTAGAGTGACCTGTGACCTCAAGGTGTTACTAACTCTGACTGTGAGGTTCAGCAAAAGTTCCAGTCTCTTTGAATGCAAGAGATGCTTTCATAATATGGCGTCACTACATCTAACAAGCTGAACGGCTCTGAGCAAACATCCTCTCAAATCCTGTTTTCTTATCCTAAAAGCAAAAAATAGCAGTGCCTTCCCGTGTTGTTCACAGGATTAAATAAGATAATGAAGGCAGCTGTCAAAAGCGACTTCTAATAAGCTGCAAGGAGGTGGCTGGCATCGTTTCTGATCTGACTCCTCCAGGGGACAGACTATGAGGAATCTAGCAACTGGTACACTTGTTAAAGGGTCCCCGAGGATCAGCCCTCCTGGAAGGACTGAGAAGGAAGGTGGATGAGTAGGGAGAGAAATGGATCTGTGAATGAATACAAGAGCCTCAGCCAACCTCCCCGTGAACTCTGAAGTTAGAAGGGCAGACCTTCTATTGTCTATTGTCTATAGACCCTTCTAGCTGTTACCACTGAATGCTGGTGTCCAACCAACCCCATAATTCGTATGATGAGGTTCCATATACTCCAGTAGAACGTGTTTGGAAGTGAGACTGCGGGAAGTAGATTTATATGATGAGGTCATGAGGGTGAGACCATGACAAGAGATGAGACTAGTGTTTCTTTTTCTTTCTTTCTTTCTTTCTTTCTTTCTTTCTTTCTTTCTTTCTTTCTTTCTTTCTTTCTTTCTTTCTTTCTTTCTCTCTCTCTCTTTCTTT